AAATGCAAATTGTAAAGTTCACCAGAAATCACAAAAAGCAAGAACAAGAAGCCTGCAAAGAAAAAATGCTGCCATTGAACTTCACGTGTCCGAAATTCGCATACCCTGCGTTTTTGGCAATTGTTTGTGCAGTGTCATAACATGTTAGTTGGTCGAGATAAACACAATACCTGACAATTGCCACAAAGTCTCTTCACACAATGTCAACTAAAATTTTAAATATCATGTTACAATTATCAAAATACAAAGTGAGCTTTAGCTTTGTTATTCGTGGTCCAAGGTAATGGCTCGAGAATTTGACGCCAGACTTGCGCAAAAGCAATTCCTATACAATCATCTTTCGATCAAACACAGTATAGCAACTGATCTCACCAATAACACCATCCTGAAGCAAACACTGCACAGCTACAGACGTAAGTGCAAGTAGTGTAGTACTTATACTTAATAGCTCCGCCGCTTGTAACATGGTGTTTTGACAATTGTTTTCTCATTTCTTTGCTATTCATCAAGTTTCCACCCATTTCAAACAGATCAAAATGTTCTTGAGCCATAGTTTCTGTTGCTGCTCATCACATCGAACACTCAATCTTCGTAAAACGTACCAATAGTGAATTGCACTACACTCCAATTGTTCGTGAATAGTCGTTATAGATTGAAACCCAAAGAGTCCAACGACATTCGCACCGTCATAGCTATTGCCGTCTCCATAAACACAACGATTGACCATGTGTCACACACATGCTACAAGCGCCACAAATAAAATAATAAGAGTCACAGCATGTGACTGGAAAGAGTGCACCACGCCGTAGCAAAAGACGAAAAGATAATACAGCGACTCAATGCTCGCACATACACCGAGGTGCTGTTACAATGGGGTACGTCAGATCAAGGTGTAACGGACACGCTACACTTGTGGGCAATTGTACAATAACTTGGGGGTTACATTGTATTGCTACTGAAGAAAACGATGGAACTCTGGAACAGACCGACATGCATTACATATAGACTTGTTAATGAGCATTGTAAACAGGTATCTCTAAATGAGTTTAAGCGATAATTATAAATACACTCTTTTGTAATCTTAAGCACAGTACTTCATCATTTTAAAGGCTCTTACTTATGCTTAATTCAAACCCACCCTTTGTCCGTTGTTGACGCAGAATCCTTTAATCACAGCTTCCTCTGCAAAATGTGCACGACAACCCCGTTGCTTGGTAGCATCTGTACTTAATCTGACGAATTAAACTATGCGTCAGACGGAGCAACAGTGCGTCGCGCTAACGGTCATAAAAAATAGGATCACGTGCGACAATGAGTGTTAAAGAAAGAAGAGCCATTTCCGACATGGAATGTGTTTAAGCGACATACGGCACGGGTGTTCGCGATGCAGAACAGGCGTACCAG